CGTAAACAGACAATGCAATGGTGTACACTTTAAATATATTAAACAGACAATGCAATGGTGTACACTTTAGATATAGTAAACAGACAATGTAATGGTGTACACTTAAGATATAGTAAACAGACAATGTAATGGTGTACACTTTAGATATAGTAAACAGACAATGTAATGGTGTACACNCATAGTAAACAGACAATGTAATGGTGTATACTTTAGATATATTAAACAGACAATGTAATGGTGTACACTTTAGATATAGTTAACAGACAATGTAATAGTGTACACTTAAGATATAGTAAACAGACAATGCAATGGTGTACACTTTAGATATAGTTAACAGACAATGTAATGGTGTACAATTTAGATATAGTAAACAGACAATATAATGGTGTACACTTTAGATATCGTAAACAGACAATGTAATGGTGGATACTTTAGATATATTAAACAGACAATGTGATGGTGTACACTTTAGATATAGTAAACAGACAATGTAATGCTGTACACTTTAAATATAGTAAACAGACAATGTAATGGGGAACACTTTAGATATAGTAAACAGACAATATAATGGTGTACACTTTAGATATAGTAAACAGACAATGTAATGGTGTACACTTTAGATATAGTAAACTGACAATGTAATGGTGTACATTTTAGGTATAGTGTGCTGTAGAGGTAATGTTTTTGTCACTATTGGTGTGACCCCGGGTATATCTGACCTTCTACAGGTAGGAATGAGTTGTACTCTATTTGCTAATCCTTGTTTACATCGTACAGATGTGGCCGCTGTCGATTTCCCTGTGGACATCCTGTACAACAGTGCTATTGAGTGGCATGAATCCTTCACTGTGGTGTTGGGGCCAGAGGATCCCACAGGGGCTGTGCTGGGGTTGATCTCCGTCACCACGGTAACCATCCTTGATGACGAAGTGTCTGGAAGTCTGGTTCTACCTGCCCCTCCAGTGGTAAATAAGCTTGTTAATACCAAAAACGAATTGGTTAAATACTTCCAAAAGTAGTTATAGCTCTTGCTTTAAGGGCAAGTAAGTTTATGCCGTGGCATGGCGTCTGTCTTCCATCCGTCCCACAAAGTTGATCAAATTCATTTACCTTCCCTACTTTCAAGGTCACAGGGATCAAATACTTCTCCTAAATATTCTATAGGCCTAGAGTCATGAATGTTGGCCAGTAGCTTACTGGGATAAATCCCCCCAAAAATTGCCAAAAATAACCTTGACATAATTTTAAAGGTCACAATACTTCAACTGAGTTGTCTTGAAAAGGGAAAGGCCTACAGTCATAATATTAACATACCTTCTCCTTTATCTGTACAGGTGGTATCTCTGTTACACTATGATGACGTAGAGACAGGAATCAAGAAGAACCCTTCACCGGGATACCCTCTTATATGTGTATCAGTAAGTAACTGTTTAACACTTCACCAGGATACCCTCTGATATGTGTATCAGTAACTAACTGTTTAACACTTCACCGGGATACCCTCTGATATGTGTATCAGTAACTAACTGTTTAACACTTCACTGGGATATCCTCTGATATGTGTTTCAGTAAGTAACTGTTTAACACTTCACCAGGATACCCTCTGATATGTGTATCAGTAA